CAAATCAAACTCAGTGCTTAAAAGATAAGTCTATGACTTTGTCCCAGGCTGTTACCTTATCACATAGAGTCACAATTCGAGAATGCCCAGCACTTATGTTACAACGTTGCCCTGAGAGTTAAATAACTTAATGTATTATAAAATACCTAGTTAGCTACTTGGCCTCTAGCAGGAGCACAAAATGAATAAAATTTCTCAGTTTGATTGTCTTAGTTTTATATTCTATACTCAATACACAGTCTATGAGTGGACTTTGAGGTATGACATCAAAATGTTCTACTAAGCTGAACCACTGCCTGTTTCTCCACTGCTTTGCTAAATGTAAATTCCTTTTGTGTAAAAATAATTTGTAAGGGCTGGAGAGATGGCTCAGCGGTTAAGAGCACTGACTGCTCTTCCAGAGGTCCTGAGTTCAAATCCCAGCAACCACATGGTGGCTCACAACCATCCATAGTGAGATTGGATGCCCTCTTCTGGTTTGTCCGAAGACAGCTACAGTGTACTCATAATAAAATAAATAAATAAATCTTTAAAAAAATAATTTGTAAAAAAATTTGAGGATTATTTTCCCTTTTCTGCTAGACTATGAATTCTTTCTTTCTTTCCTTCCTTCCTTCTTTGCTTCCTTTCCTTTCCCTTTCCTTCCCTCCCCTCCCCTCTCTTTCCCTTCCTTTCCTTTTCTTTCATTTTATAGAACTCTGAATGTTTTAGAACACGTTATATAGACGAGGCTGCCTTCCAACTCCCAGAGACCCATCCACCTTTGCCTCCTGAGTGCTGAGATTAAGGAATACACCGCCACACCTGGTCAGATTATGAATTCCTTAAAACCAGGGACCATGCCTCATTTACAGAACACGTTCTAACATATTAGAATCTCAAGAGAATTAAAGCTCTGTGTCCTTTATCCAGACAGTGAGACAACACTTTTCATAACAGTTAACTTAGGAATAGTTAACACAAGGGGCCTGATTTGTCTGAGATAGCTCACACTGCCACCTTCTGAGACCTCACTTGTCTGAGATAGCTCACACTGCTATGTTCTTGGGTCTGGCTTTTATTTCACTAACAAAGTTATTCCACTGGAGAGCACATTTGGCCTCAAAAATCACCACTTTCCCTGGCAATAATTAGTTTAGAGAGATCACTGGGGATGCGGGTGAGGGGGTTAAGAAATCCCAAAAGTAGAGTCCTAATTTGATGCCTCTTAACACACACACACACACACACACACACACACACACACACACAGAGACACAGATATACACAATCTTTGGTACAATTTCAAAATGTTCTCAGAACCACGGAAGCCTTTGGATCCTGGGTTAAGAATTATTAGGATAGCCCCAAGCAGACTTGCAATGTGAGAGTTCAGGTTTCTTAGGGAAGTCCAGCCCTGAGTAGCCCTCTCTTGTTGGAAAGAAAACAAAACAAACAGACCAATTACAACTCCCTATATTTAGCCTCAAGGTTATCCCTGAGGGGCCAGTTTTACGCATTAATGCTAAAGGCTTGCAGCCAAGCTGTAACCATACTTTGAAGAACTTGTGTTCGGCCCAGGAAAATGCTTGGTAATAACGTTTACATTCTCAAATCCCGGGTATGAGGCTTTCTTCCTATCCCTTGCGGCCCTTCCTAAGTTTAGCTGCTGGTGTAATGGGGTTACCATGGCAACAACCACCTGCCTATTTAAAACCATCTCCAATGCTAAATAAGGAAGCCTAGAGAAAATGGCTGCCTGCCTGCCTCTCGGTGGACAAGTTGAATACTCCTGGGTATTTTGCATGCAGGCAAGCAAACAGGATGGAGCAGCATGGACCCAAAGTTCTCCAGAGGAAGCGGTGGTGACTTTGTGACACAGGAGCTGCTGCCTCTGAACAACTTCATTTCTCAAGCAAGGACACGAACTTAAATTCAAGTGCACGTGGTGTCTGTCATCTCTACCAGGAGCAACATGGGGCTTGAGCCCCAGCAAATGTAGCAGTCATCCTCTTAATGGGATCTGGGAAGTGGGAAGGGGAAAGGTGGAGAAGTCGTGATGAATTCCTGCACTTCGCACTCAGGTGCTCAATGTGATTTCCCCCCCTCCCAGATCTGTCTTTCTAATTGGACTTAATTGATTTTCTGATGCTCTATTCAGCTCATATGTTGCCCTGCCTTAATTTTTGGAACATGTCGAAACTTCATCTTCTGCTTCCTTATTCTCTAAAAACAACAGAGGTCTCTCTTCCTTTCCACAGCGAGAGACTTGCGCCAGCTGCAGCAAGGGCTTCTGTTCCGGCATACCGTGCTCTAGTGCTTTATCTTCAGGTCCATCTCGTTCTCTCTCTGGAGACTGTCCTTCTCTTTTTATCAAGTGGTTAAAAAAACCATATTCTTGACTTCTTTATCAGGTGGGGCATCTTTGCCATTAGAAAGTTCTCCGTGCTAGCTCTGTTCTCTTGCTTTGTGTTCTCTTAAGTCACCTCTGTGTAATCACATCACTTCATACACACTGGTGTGCACCCCTGCTTTTCAGGCTGTTTCCAGTGGGGCTGGGGTGGGGCAGTGAGTGCCGGGTCATCTATCCCAAACAATATACTGTGTGTTCTTTTCTTTTTTGGGGGTGGGGTGGAGACAGGGTTTCTCTGTGTAGCCCTGGCTGTCCTGGAACTCACTCTGTAGACCAGGCTGGTCTCGAACTCAGAGATCCGCCTGGCTCTGCCTCCTAAGAGCTGGGATTAAAGGCGTGCGCCACCACTGCCCGGCCTGTGTGTTCTATAGTATATTTTCAAACGACGTTGCTGAGTGAGCAAGTGAGCGAGTGAGTGAGTGAACGAGCCAGTGAGTGATCCAGTGAATGAGCAGAACCTGTGGGTTTCCCAGGCACAGGCCATCTTCCCAGACACACTTGAGAACCTGTGAGGGTATGTGGGTGTAGAGAAGACATTGAAAGTCTGTAGAATAGGTAGAAGAAGAGGTTTTTTGTTTTGTTTTCTCCAAAAAACAATCCTGAGGCTGCTCTTCTGCTGGGATGAGCATCTATCTGCCTTTCTGGGAGAAGAGAGGACACAGGTTTGGTTCTTTTTTATAGAGGAAGAACAAGAGGATGAATGAGGAAGAAATAGATATTATTTGTGTGGGAACAGGCAGAGTTCTGCCAAAAGGTCAAGTCAGGGCTACTTCCTGAAGAGGCCACAGAACATCTCCACACATGCCACGTGGGTGATCAAGAAGGGCCTGCTCCCTTAGGAGCGCCATTTCTATAGGGAAGGCCTGTCCAGGCGCCAAGAGGACCAAGCCGGGTGGTGCTAGGGGTCCTGAAACAGATGAGTAACGCCACACCGTGCTAGGCCAGGTCCTCAGACAGAGAGGGGAATGGGAGCATGTGGACACACAGCATCCCAGAACAGCAAGGCAGAAACAGCTGATCCAGAGTTGGAACACAATGAAAAAGCCCCCAAAGTGGTTATTCTCAAAAAGGTCACCACCTACACCCTGCCCGGCCCAGCAGCGGAGCTCAGTTCACATCAGAAAAAGACTTGGAGAGGCAAGAAGAACTAGCTGAATCAAGCTTCAAAACTAGCATGTAAACAAACCCACTGTCAGGAGATCTGGTCTCTCAGGAATTCTCAGCCTTGCTAAGGGAAAGAAAGGTTCCTTCTGGCATCTACTTATCTCTGAGTCTACTTCCTATACTGGCTGAGGGTGCAGGCTCAACCCAGGCCCGGTCTTGGATCATCAGTTTTAGTAGCAATATTAGTGATCTCAAAGCTTTGGCACAACTGAACTTGGATTTTATGCCTACCATTTTTTTCTTGTCAGTAACGGATTTGTGTTTGATTTTTAAAAACCTTAAAGTTTGCCTACTTTTCCAGTGTAAATAGGACTCTTCCATGTAAATACTTTAATAAAATCTGTATATTGGTTTTAAAACAATGGTTGTATACATGCATGGGGTGATGAAGGCAGAGGAAGGGACGGCGGTGCCAGTTTGTGACTACAGAAGCAGGGGCTGGCAAGACATGCGTGTAGTGTTGTGGGTCTAGGGTCTGAGGGAGACAGAATGTCACCCTAATACAGTTCAGTGGCTGTTAGATCCGGGCTTGACATTACCTCGCTGTGCTCAGCCTCTCCCTGGTTAAGCTCCAGGCTGTGGAGTCAGGAGCAGGGCTGAAAGTGAAATGTCCTCAAATAACACCCAAACTTCTGCTTTGAGGAGGATTCTGTGGCCTCAACTAAAAGCTACCAAGCAATAAGTTCAAAGATCGAGTCCAAATTGTTATCCCATTGCTGCCCACCTGCCTGAGGCTAGGCGTGGAATCCAGGGATGATCTTCAAATTAGTACAACAAAGATGATAGAGTCAGAGAAGAGAGAGAAACGAACAAGAAAGGGGAAACGGACAACTCCACGAAATTGTATGCCAGACACAACGCGGTTCTGGCAAATTTCATTCGCTCTGCAAGACAGGTTTGAGTTCTTGCAACTGCTTTGGTTTTCTCTTTTCTTTCTTGTTTGAACCCAATCTCCAGGCATGCAGGAGCCCATGCGAGGCCGCTGTGGTGCCCTCCATGGTCACAGCCGTTGCAGGGGCCTCGCTGCTGCCCTCTGCTGTCGGGGAGAGCGGCTGGCACCTCCTCGGGTCTAAGACCCTAGCGGAGCCTTTCGCTCACCCAACCCCCTGCGAGAAGCTGGACTTTTGAGGGGGAAACCTTTAAGTCCCTGGAGGGGTTCCAGGAGACCAAAGGCAGGCTCCTTGCCACCCTTGTGGTCCCCAGACACATCCCTCTGCTCAGTTCCTGCGGGAGGGGACCAGCGGCCAGGCTGCAGCAGGTTTCTGACATTTTTTTTTCCTTCTTAGAAATGGAAACCCTCCTTCCGGCAACGTGGCAGGAAAGCGAAGTCCCCTGGCGGGGGACCCAGGCCAAGGACACTTCCGTGGTAGCAGGTGGGAGGCCGCACTGGCTGGCAGTGCCGAGCGGGCGGGGTGCCACCACGGCAGCCAGCATGCTCGCTTACCTGCTGTTGAATTTTTCAGGGTGTTTCTCTCTCATCATATGGAATCTGTGTGCAATGGAAGCATCCTGGAAACAAAAGGAAAGAAGGCAAGAAAGCCTGGTTAGTGGTTGTGGCCATGAGATATGGTGGGAAGACACACATATACGCTCTCGGGATGCCCAGATTCCACAGACTCCAAATCATAGGGTGCAGCACCATATCCAGGGTAAGCTAGTGCCACCGCTCAGTCATTTGAGAACCTAGTTTGGTTGCCTCAGAGCCCAGCACTTTTCAAGCCCAGTGAACTGCCACTGTTCACCCTTTGGAAACAGGCAAGAGCAGGCTCTAGAGTGAAGGGAAAGCCATTCTCCTTCCAGAATAGTGAGGGGCTCTCCTCAGGTGAAGCCAGAAGCCAGTTTGAGGAGGGGGGGAAGGCTGGGGTGAGATGGGGTGTGTGTGATGGTGACATAAAAGTAGGGAGTATTTTGACTCATGAGAAGTTGCAAAAATAGTACGTTTCTCATGTCCCATTCACCCAGCTTCCAGTGATGATAACATCTTACATAATAGCACATTGTCAAAACCCAAGGCCGAGGCTGGTAGAGGTCGGCATGGATTAACTCTTTGTTGTCTGTTTCACTCAAAACAGTTAATAGTATTGGATAGCACGTTTAGCGGACAACAAAAGCGTATTGAACGTCTAGCTTCTGCCTATTAATTGTTCTGTCCACAGGGCTGCTTCTGAAGCCAGCCACAATCTCAGTCCCTTCCTACCCGCTCCGCTGGCTCCTTCCTCCCCCTTTGGCTGCACAACTGGCTCTCTGTACCACAGGATTCATCACGAGGCTCCACAACACTGTTTCTGGGTGTCCCATTTCTCAGTTTGGAACCTCTTAGCCCCGAACCCTATGACAGACACTCTGTGAGTGCTCATGGCTGTGACTGGTGTTTACGGGTTGGGGCTCCATGATCTATAGGCCAGAATAGGATCCAAAACTGAACTCAGTTCTTCAAACCTAGCCTTCTGCACATCTTAAAGAGCCCAGCAGAAGAATGTGTACTGTCCCCTTATCACGCACTATCTAGCACTGTGGAGGCAGATGCTGAACACTGGAAATAAACTGACTAATTGTTTGGAGACAGTATATCCCAGAAACAAGGAGCTGATTTAGAGTTGCCCAGAAGCGACAGCAACAGCCAATCAGAAATCTCTGGGCATGCTGAGACATGCCTGTAGTCTCAGCACATGGATATATCGAAGCAGGGGGATTTAGAATTCAAGGTTAGCCTGGACTACAAGGTGGTACTATATCTCAATGAACCCACCCACCCTCCCACCCAACAACCAATAAGTAAATAACCAAAAATCCATTTACTAGACTATGTGTCTGAGAGATTCTTAAAATTCCATAGAGACAAAAAATGTCCATAGAGCAGAGTATTAGCTAATATATATTCCCTCTTCCTTCCTCCTCTTCTGTCTCTTTTCTTTTTCTTTTTCCTCTCTTCCTTCTTTCCCCTTTCTTCTCTCTCTTTATCCCCCTCTCTCTCCCTCCCTCCCTCCCTTCTTCCCTCTGTCTTTCTTCTGAGACAGGCTTTTACCATGTGATTCTAATTGGCCTGGAACTCACTATGTAGACCAGCAGTTCTCAACTTGAGGGTTGTGACCACTTTGGAAGTCAGACAACCCTTTCACAGAGATCTCCTAAGACCATTGGAAAACACAAGCATTTACATTTACGATTCATAACAGTTGCAAAACTACAGTTATGAAGCACCAATGAAGAGGATTTCTGGTGGGGTCACCACAGTATGAGGAACTGTATTAAAGGGTCACAGCATTAGGAAGGTTGAGAACCACAGATATAGACTGTACTCAGCTCAAACTCAGAGAGATCCTCCTGCCTCTGACTCCCCTGCACTGGGATTAAAGCTGTGTGCTTCCATGCTGGGCATATTGTTTCTTGATAAGGAAAGTGTACAACAGAGCATCAAGTGCAGCTCACTAAAGAAGCTTTTGGGGTACATACTATGTGTGATGAGTTTCATTAGGGATGGGGTACCCTCAGCCAGCAGCCACTGTGTGGAATCTGGGAGGACAGGTCTCCATTACTGGCTTATTTTGTGGCTGGTAAACATTCCTTGGGCGTTTAGTGGTTAAATTTTTGCTACTGATCTATTCTTGTAGCTTTCTGACTTGTCAAGAGCTGATGGCCTGGGTAGAGTCACCCTGTGGACACATGGCAGCAGGTGTCAAAACTCAAGGAGGCCCCTCTTGGCCCCCCGGGCCCACACAGCCTTCTCAGCTCCTCTGGGCAGCAGCTCTTCTTAGCCTAACCCACACCTACCTCTCTCTTTTCCAGCAAGTCTCAGTGGACACTCCTAATAAGATATATGTGATATTTGTCAAATGTTTTTCTAGAATTCCAGAAAGCATTTCATCTAGCTGTGTTTCTTTGAAGCACTGATTTTCTCCTGTCAGGACAAAACAAAACCAAACTCCCCCAAACAAAACAAACCCAAAGCAAACATCCATGTATTGTGCGGAGGCCTGATTTGTACATCATTGCCATTACTCCCAGTGCCACTGAGAGTGGCCCCTGGTTTTAATTCCTGGGATATTTGCAGAGGCTCTTCTTCCTGGCCAGTCCTAATCACACTTGGTTTTTCCATTGCTAAGTTTTGTATGGCTTCTTATTCCATAGGGCAGCATTTACAAGATCATTAGCTCAGCATGTGATTCCTGATTTGACGGTGTAATCTCTTGACAAATACACCAAACAGCAAGGGAGAGCTAAGCTGTCTCTTGAAAGGCTTAGACCTTGTTTGTCTCCCAGGAGATAGAAAGGGTCAAGAAGGGTCAAGACTCATTTACCCAGTTGAGCGGCTCCATGCAGAGAACTGACCATAGGGTATTTATTTTATGGGTTCAGATACTTTTTTGATGCTGAGTACTGCAAAGAACATTTCCCCTCTAGAGACCCTGACCCTGGAGGCTGTCGGAACAGTCCGGTCGGCCATGTGTTCTGTAGTCGAAACCTCAAACACATGGTTGGATGAAGGATTTTTGCTGTCTCTCAAACATAAGCTTCTGTTATTTGGACTCTGAGATATTGGAATGTCTAGGCCAGTGCTGTCCAATAGAAATACGGCACATTTGTAACTTATAAGCTTCTAGAAGCCACATAAAAAAAGTAAAAAAAAAGATGATATTGATTTATTAATGTTTTAATTAACCCAATATGCTCTAAATTTTATAATTTCTACATATAATCAATAAAAATTGTTGATAAGTTTAATTTTTTATATCACATTTTTGAAATAGGATGTGTTTTTAATATTTACACACACCTTAAATTAGGCACACAGTAGCCACCTGTGGCTTGTGCTTTGTCATCCTGGACAGTGCAGGGCTAAGTCACTTTGACTTTTGGAGACAGACAGGAAAGAGACCACAGGGCAGGCGCTTGAAATTTGGATCATTCAAAAAATTTATGTCAGCTTGGGGAGTAGAAAAGACGTGGCTAGTGTGTCCAAGGCACGTCTCAGTGAGTCTGCAAGTGACAGATTAGAACTCAGTGCTGACAGAATCTGAGTTTGCAAGCCTCTGACTTGTTGACACCTTCCCTAGTGGGTAGGAGGCTTGTCACTGTGGGACGTGGGCAGGTGAACATTAATGACAATCTATAAGGTGGAAAATGGCATATGGGCTGGCAGCCCTCTGGCATCCAAAATAGATTTCACAGAGTCAAGGGATTAGCTGCTCACCACTCTGTTAAGACGCATTGAAAACAGAGCCTGTGAGGAATTCCGAGTTACACAGGCTCCAGGAATTATTTTGTAGTCCCTAACTTCCTGTCACTGATACCTGGCCATCCTGACCTTTTGGCTAATCCAAAAATAGAGAGCAGAGAGGAAGAAGCCAGAGAACTCAGAGGAAGCCATGTGCTGGATGACGGTGCTCAAGACCTCTTCCCAGGAGATGTCTGCAGATAGAAGGACCATAACGCCGAACAGCAGAATCTTCAATGATTCTGGCTGGTGTCTGGGTATATCGTGGCACTGAGCCCTAGTAGCTCCCTGGACAGGCTGGAAGAGTCTGTCTTACTCAACCCTCTATCTATTAAATGCATTCTGTTCCCACCCAGGGGCACCACAGTTGTTGTATGACCGTTATCTTTATAGTTTCAAGGCAGCAACCATTTGTTCAATAGGCATTGCATGGCCTTCATAACAGCAAAGCCATTACAGGCATCTCTTTTCCAGGGGTGTGTGTGACTATGTTTAAGCATCATAAGGAGGTAGAACTGGGTTGGTTTACATACCTACTTCTCTCACAAAGTTTGGGAAGTCAAATAGGAAGCAAGACCTTTTGCAAATGTCAGCCCTACAGTCTGTCAGGGTTGCAGATTGGGTACTTATTTTCTCAAGATTTTTACCTTCCACCTTTTAAAGAGCGAGCACACAAACCCTGCAAATATTCTATAAAGAAGGCTAAGGGCACACCAATGAGATCAAAAGTCCCATTTCCTCACTCATCTACAGTATGACAGTAAACACGTGACAACTAAAGCAATGTGGAAAGAACTGTGAATAGATACCCTTGGAATATTGTAGCCAGACTAGGCCAGGTGAGGCAGTGTGGTGGCGCAGAGGGTGATGGGTTTCTGTTTGAATGCTCTTCCTTGGAGGGGAGCTAGCTTTTTTTCCTTCTTCCCCCCTTCCCAGTTGGCTCCATCCTTCCTCCCAAAAGAATGCATTAAAACTATGATTCCTGGCTCTTGTGTATCTAGGGCCTGGGTATCTAGTTGAGGGAAGGTTGTCTACAGGGCACTGAGTGGAGACCGGCAGGTACTGAGAACTCTGTTCCTGCCAGCCAGAGCTGTGTTCAGAGTTGTGTGTTGAAGGTTCTAATGGTAGCCATGCTTGAACCTGCCAACCAGAAGCTCCTGGGCAGCCTAGCCTGTCTGTGCGTCCATCTTGTGGCCAGCTTCCTCTATTTTCTTATCTCCCTCTTCTTCATTACCTAATGTTTGTGCGCCAGACCCACTTCCTATGTACATTCTGCTCCTGTGCTGTCTCTACTCTCTGAGGCCTTGCTCAGGGTCATCAGCATCAGAGTGCTCCCAGGGGCTTGTTAAAAAATGCAGAGTCCCAGACCTTGCTAAGAGCTATGGAGTCAAATTACAAGTCAGAATCTGGTGCAGAGCACGCTGTGAGCTGTCTCCCACTGGATTTGGAGACCTTCCCTTACTCCACTGGGTGTGTACTGTGCAGCGTCCACAGTTGAGCGGGCTCCGGATCCCCCAGCAGTGCTCACCCCCAGCTTCAACTACACAGTGGCTTGGAGTCCCACAAAGGCAACAGGGAAATCAGATGATTGGGCTGGGTGCACCACAGGCACTCAGTAAGCCGTGATTATACAGTGTGTGATGGTAGGAAAAGGATCTGAGGCTTGGTAAAGCTGATGGGAGGATACCCATACTCAGGGACCCTGGCACAGGCAGCATCGCCTGACTGTCCAGAACTGAAGATTTCCAAGCAGAGAAGGAGAGGGGCCTGAATATAAGAAAGATGTGTGTGTGTGTGTGTGTGTGTGTGTGTAACAATCCTGCTGGGCCTGAAAGAGGGCTTGGGAAAGTATCCCTTTACTAGAAGTGGGGACTGTAGAGTGGTGAGGTAGATAAGCCAGTTAGTACGAAGGAACCCCTAGTGTACCACCTTCACATTCAGTCTTATACCCTGGACCCACAATGCCTTGCCTGCTTCAGTCATAGCAATGAGCAATGGAGTGTAGGAGTGAGAGGATGAAGGCAAGCCCCTTCGCCTGAAACTGTTCTTCACTTAGAAAACCAGAGAAAATAAAAACAAACAACAAAGAAACCCACTGCAAATGTGGTAACTCTTCAAACCTTTTGTAAATGTAAGAGTATTATTTGAAGCCTTTTTCTCTCCCTTGCTTCTAGTTTTAGCCTTATTAAAAAGTAAGATGCTTTTATTAAATCATTAAACCTGGAGCTGTCTTTTAAATGCCATCTCCATCCCCCACCCCCTTACCACCAACAGTCTCAGCCAAGGCTGGAGAAAAAGGAGCACAGGTATCCCTCAGTCTGGTGCAGAGGATAGCCTGGAGGAGCTCATGTACACATGGCCAAAAACGATCTCAAACACAGGAAGGGGGAAAGGAAGGATACACAGAACCAGGACGGGCCTTGGAGACAGGGAGGAAGGAGTGTGGCCTTGTTCTACCTCTTCAAGAGGCCCAATCCTTTCCATAAAACTGGGACAATGCCTAAGGACTGCTGTGCTAATTAGAATGCATAAGCCTGCCACTGTAGAAAGCACACAGTAGGTGTCTCCCTGGACCACCATCTCAAGCCCCAGGTCAATATAAGAATACTCCAACTGAGGAAGGGGGCCCGCTGGAGAGATGGCTCAGTGGTTAAGAGCCCTGGCTGTTACTTCAGAGGATTTGGGCTTAATCCCTACACCTGCTCGGCAGCTAACACACCCATTTGTAACTCTAGTTAGAGATGATACAGTGCCCTCTTCTGGTCTCTGTGGTTACCTAGGGTACCTGGCACAGACAAACACATAGGCAAAATGCTCATATACATAATTTTTTTTTTTAAAAAAAGAATACACTCAAACTTGGTGATAGTGGTGCATGCCTTTAATCCCAGCACTTGGGAGGCAGAGGCAAGCAGATCTCTGTGAGTTTGAAGCCAGCCTGGTCTACAGAGTAAGTTCTAGTCCAGCCAGACTGGACTAGACATTTCTACACAGAGAAATCTTGTCTCAATCAATCAATCAATCATCAATCCAAATCAAAACCAACCAACCAACCAAAACACCACTCATCATATTGTCCCCGCAACCTAGGAAACAGTGCCTACTCTGAGCTGGAAACTGAGTTCAGTGTGACAAACTGACTGAGTTATACTAGCTAGGCTGGAGGATGGAAGGACGCACCGATGGCATTCTCTCTCTCTCTCTCTCTCTCTCTCTCTCTCTCTCTCTCTGTGTGTGTGTGTGTGTGTACATGTGTATGCATATCTGTATGTGTGCACATGTGTGTGTGCAAGCATGCACTTGTACATAGGAGAAGGGTTGATTCTGGCACATTAAAGCCAGCCCTTCAGTCTAATGCTCGGAGAACACTGATGGTCTGTGATAAGGGCTGTAGAGGCATCAAGCAGGAACAGTGGACGCAGCCTGAGAGTCAGCAGCAGAAGAACCCCCTAGACATGTATGAAGCCCTTGGAATGTGTGTGGTTGTGCTGGGCAGAGGCAAGTGAACATGAGGAGAGGAGTCTAAGTGTTAAGTCTGCCAAGCCTGGTGCAAGCAAGTAGCCATTCCTCATGGTCAGAGTTCTCAAATCTTCACACTCACGTGAGGGTTTCTTCCTGGCCTTATCTTTTGGTGTTTGTTTAATTAGCTGAAGGATATGTACATTTTAAAGAAAAGTTTCAATCTTTTCTCCTGTTAGCTAAAATTATAGGAGTAAGAATTTCTTCTACAGTCAAGGGATAGAATGGCTATGCAATCAGGGTGGCCACACCATGCCAGATTTGAGGACGCTCAGACCCAGGTCAGGGCTAGGGACAAAGAGAACAGGCAAGGAGTAGTGGTCTGGAAGGGTCAACAGACACTTGTTGGTCATGCAGAAAAGCAATCAATGGCTAACTTACCACACCAATGGAGAAATAGTTGTTCATGATGTTGTATGGGACCTGGTCTCCGTTCTCCACCTCTTCCCTGGGCATGACCTCTAGGTACCAACGGTCCAGCATCACCAAGGGGCTCTGTTCAATTTCCTTCAGGATCTTGGTCAAGCTGCCCCCTTCATAACCTATGAATATGGGCATGGTATGTACCACCAGAGCCGAGAGGCAAGGTTGTTGCTCATACAGAGAAAATAACTTTTTAGGCATTTGTGGCTGGAATACTTCTAGGTGCTTTTGGGCTGGAGACACCTATGTTCTCTGAGCCAGAGCAAAGGGGGAGGACCGTAAGGAGTAATTAGCAAGCATTCGGGTGTGAGTGGGAAGCCTGAGAGCAAGGTATGGAATACCTGTTGGCTAGAGGCAGGCATGGTCTGGAGCTGAAGCAAGCCCTGCACAGTGGGTGAGCTGATGAATGAACTTACGCCATTTGTAGGAATGGATAGAACTAAGAATTATGTTAATCAAAATAGCTAGGCTTGGGTATTATATGTTTTCTTTCATATGTAGAATAGAGAGATTAAACACCAATGTTTACTCTATCTGTCTGCCTATCTATCTGTCTATCATCTATCTATCTATCTATCTATCTATCTATCTATCTTCTATCTATCACCTACCCATCTATCCACCCACCTACCTACCAGACATAATAGTAGAAGGATGTGGTAGTTTGACTAGGAATGGCTGCCATAGACTCATATGTTTGAATGCTTAGCCCATAGGGAGTGAGTGACACTATCAGGAGGTGTGGCCTTGTTAGAGGAAGTGTGTCACTGTGGGGGTAGGCTTTGACGTCACATATAAGCTCAAGTTCCACCCAGTGTGACAGTCTCCTTCTGCTGCCTGTGGATGAAGATGTAGAACCCTTGGCTTCTCGAGCTCCATGTCTGCCCACACACTGCCATGCTTCCCACCATGATGATAATGGACTCATCCTCAAACTATAAGCCAGCCCCAATTAAATGCTTTCCTTTATAAGAGTTTCCTTGATCACGGTGTCTCTTCACAGCAATAAAACCCTAAGGCAGAAGTCTATTGGAAGAGGAAATAGGATAATAGGATATGGAACAATAGAAGGTATGGGTGGTAGATAAAATCAAAGAACAGGATAGACATGTATAAAAGGGCTTAATAAAACTTATTATTTTGTACAGTAAATTCACCACTAATTGGAAGAAAGAAAAAGGGAGGAAAGAAGGAGAAGAGGGAGGGACTGACTTGTCAGCTGCATGGCTGGGGAGCTGTGTGCAGAAGAGAGCAGATCCATCCCAGGACCCTATCGTGTGGATAGAATAGTGATCGGCATACTCTTCAGATAACCCTCAGGTCTGACTTCTGCCTTATCCCCCAAGCAAGAACACAGATACTGGCTGGTCTGGCCCAGCCTGGTCTTATTTGCAAAGTCCTTGGCCATTGCTCTAAAAGCCATCACTACCCCATCTTCAGCTTAGGGGAGTTTCAAATGAAAGGCCATTGTCCTAAGAGTCTGATAATCTAGTGTCCCTGGTGTCTTGTAATTGGTGATGTGGTATTTCAGTCTCCATTCTGAATCCTGATTCAGAACGGAGGAGGGAGGAATTTCATGGAGGAACTCCTGCTAAATAAACCCATGTACTGGAATGAGCATTCAGGAAGGGACAGGTGAGATCTCTCTGTATCCTTCAGTTGACCATGTCCTGTTGGAGGAACATCCCTGAGAACGTGAATCCTTGGCTCCAGTGTGGTGCTGGTGGCATATAGACTCACCTCCTCCCCAGCGGAGACATCGTGCGAGGTCATTTCCTGTTCCAAGAGGCAGGACAGCCACGGGTGGGTGCTTTGTGAAGTTGGCCTTATCTGTAACCCACATGAAAGATCAGACAAGCCACGTGATTACAGATGGTTGCATTATCTTATACTCCCCACATGCTCTCCCTCCTCTACTGTAATCACAGAACACCTCCTGCGATGGAAAACACACCCTTTGCAGAGGCTATCCACAGCATTGGCAGTGTGTTTGTTAGCTGCTACACATTTGCCAAAGCTGTCAATAACATCTTCATATTGAGCTAAATCTGTCTCCCTAGAATTTTTACCTATTTATCCCAAACATGCCCCAATTCTGTTCTTCAAGGTGACAGCACACACCTCACAAACATTGGCTCATGTTGGTCAACATTAACCACAGTCATTAAGAATAATGATGACCAACACTAGTTTCCAATTACTGCTCACGGTTCTGTAACCTCCTGGAAGAGTGTGTTTCATTTGCCATGGCATTTGCATCTGGATCCCCTGAGTCCTGCCAGATGCTGTGGTAGGTGGCCATGGTCAGGCTCTCAGTGTGAGAATCGTACACACAATGTACGAATGTACCTTTCCCCAGAAAGGGAAGAGGGGCGATCCTCTTACAAGGTGACTATGGCTGTCTGGTGTGCAGGAGAGGTCCCCTAACAAGCCACATTTCAATTGAGGCTGGGGAGCACTTCTGATGGGAAGACCACTTGGACAAGGCTCATGTGGGGAAGAAGACTGCTACATTTGAGGGTCTGAGCTGGGCTGGGTGGCTGGGATCCCACCAGAGAAGGATAAGAGGGAGAGGTCATTAGAAGAACCTCTGTCATTTTCTGAGGAATCACAGGTGTCTTTTGGTGTCTTTTCTGTGCACCACAGACCCACTGATATCAGGCAGAGTGTTATGGCGACAGCAGGGGAGGTGGGAGCGACTGCCTCAATGGGGCGGAGATCATGGCACCGGTGCTTGAATGAATGAAGAAAAGCTCGCTTGCTTGCAGTTGTCTCTTTCCTCAGTGGGTTCTGTGAGGAGCCACTGACCTGTGTGGAAAAGTCCACCTTTCATCTCATAGTTTCGTCTTTCTCCCTAGCTGTGTCTGTCTCCTGTGTCCTCTGCAGAGGAATTCTGTACAGTGTTTCACCGAGGGCTGCTTTCTTCCTCTCAGTGAGTGGGGCAGAGGGGACTGTGAAGAGCCTGATACTGCAGCCAGGAGCCACCTTTCCTCCCACAGCTCCTGGATGGACGAGACTTTCCTCTTCCTACTTCAGAGTTTGTGGCAGCAGAGAGGTGTGTGTGTGTGTGTGTGTGTGAGAGAGAGAGAGAGAGAGAGAGAGAGAGACAGAGACAGAGACAGACAGACAGACAGAGATAGACAGAGACAGACAGAGAGAGAAAAAGAGAGAGATGTGTATGCGTGAGAGAGGTGTGTGTGTGATATGTGTATGTCTGATGTGAGTCTGAGAGAGATGACTGTGTGTGTCTGATATGTATGTATATGTCTGATGTGTGTGATGTGTGTGTGATGTGTGTATGATATGTATGTGATGTGTGTGTGATATGATGTGATGTGTGTGTGTATCTGGTGTGTGTGTTGAGGAGACATGGAAAGCAAAGCACAGCTCATGGGGGAGCAGCAGGTAGGAGGTGTGCCTTCTCTCCTCCTGACTTGAAGGCCTCACATTCCTTGCCTGACTTGCCTGGGGTCTAGTTCTGGCCGACCTCGATTCTTCTCACCCAGAATTCCATACTTCTCACATCTACCGTTTCCACTGTGGCTCCGCCCTGGTCACCTCTCACTCGGGTCACTGTGGGAGCCTCCTGACCATCTCCTGCTCCTGCCCTCATCTCAGCATGTCGTGTCCCTTCCTTAAAACCACCGATGCCCTGGCTCTGCCTCCTTCTAAAAGCCGCACTCTAACTAATGCTGTACACACCCACGTGACCCAGCGACACAGCTCTTCATTCCCTCTGCAGTGCTTCCTGTGTGCACTCAGCTCTTAGCCACACAGCAGCCCCACCAGTTCCTACCTTAGGGCCTCTGCCCTTGCTATTTCTTTCATCTGGGCTATTCCCTTAGGCATTCACAAACCCCACCCTCCCCCTTCTTAGAACTAGCATCCCTTCCCACCCTGTGAGGTCTTCCCTGACTTCTCTTAGAGCACAGCCCACATGTCACTCTTGCTTTGCCCCTCCCTTCTTACATGTTCACTCTGACATTCTATCTCTTTCGCTCATTTCTCTGTTGCCTGAGTCTTGCCTCTAGATCAGAGACTTTTAATACAGTTCTCATGTTGTAGTGACCCCCAACCATAAAATCATTTCTGTTGCTACTTCATAACTCTAATTTTGCTACTATTATGAATCATAATGTAAATATCTGTGTTTCCTGATAGTCTTAGGCAACCCTGTGAAAGGGCCATTGGATCCTTAAAGGGATCATGACACACAGGTTAGCCACAGCTCCAGAAGGTAGGCTCCATCACGGTAGGAATTTGGCCTCTTCGTTCCTTGGTGCATATCTAGACACTTGGCCCATAGAGGTTCATGGCAGCATTTGTGTAATGACTGACAGATGGTGTGAAGCAGCCCTGGGCTCGTGGCTCTGGTCCTGGCCCTCTTTGATGCCTGCCCACCCCAGTGTTGCTGTGGCAGCTTGCCTGCCTTTGTGTTCTGTATTGTAGACTTTACCTTTACCATCTCCAAATATCACAGACAAACCCTGTCACTTTCTGGATCCAGGCAGGGGTAGGCTAGACCTCAGGCCCCCAGCCCTCCAGCCTACTCCCCTGCCTTTTCCATGTCTCTGCTTGCATTGATCTGCACTTTCCAGATGTACTTTCTGGATTCGTGCTCCAGGTGTTATCTCTAGCAGATCTGCCATGCTTAGTTTTTTGACCTTTACTTAACATCGCCCTGGCTCCACCTGGAACTTCAGTCCTGCTTCCAGTACATGTGGTTCTGTCGCTGCCCAGCTCTGCCTGTGACATACATGTTTCTAAAGACCAAGTCTATGATGAAACTCTTTACCCCAGATCCCTAATCAAGCAGCAGTCCAAGCAAGGATGGCACCCAGATGGAGAAGGCATGACTCTGTTCCTTCTTTAGTTAAATGCCTTCTGCTGACTTTAAATCTCCTCACTATAAATAACAAGTAAAGGCCTTCCTGGCCATCCTTACCAATGCAATCCAAAATCCAGCCAACTGTCCCATCTCCGCCACAGGCAAGAACACGGAAGTCTGGGGTATCATGAAAGAAGTTCAATCTGAAAAAAGAAAGAAGAAAGGCCACAGTGGTCTTGTATTAGGTGACTAGCACTTGATATGTATACAGTATGTATGTGTGTGTGTGTGTGCGCGCGCGCATGCATGTGTATGTGTGCGTGGGTGCATGCATCCGTGTGCATGTGGCGTTGGGGATTGAACCCTGGTTCCCAACTTATGCTAAATCAACTATCAATGAACTACATTTCAGCCTTAGCACTCAATACTTTTGAGTCAGTCTTCCCTGTTCCCTGGAATCAGGTTCTTTTGGGGTTGGAAGAGTCACTTAGCACTCTGGAACCAGAATTTACTATGTAGTGCTCCCAACTATGAAGAAGAATGAATTATGTGTGTATGTGTGCGTGGGATGCTGACTTCCTAATAGAAGGAGACTCTGATCCAACATTCAGTATGCAGAAAACCATTTTTGAAATTCTTCAACCATTTGAGGAATTCCTAGTTTTCACATTTTGGCAACAATACAAAGCATCCCTAAGAGTTGGACTCCTCAAAGGTTCTCCTGACTGTTGTCTCTAATACTACCTCTTTAAGAGAGATTCACTTAATTATCTGGATCTTTATTTATTCCTCTGAGAGCCCCCTGCCAAGGGGAGAAGGACCCCATTTTCTCTGGAAGCATGAATCTGATAGAGCAAGACCTGGTGTCCACTGACTTTCTAGTGGGTCTGTGGATATAATTCAGAGGTTCGTAAACTTGGAAGGGAAACTATTACATTAATATCTTCTCTGATCTGTAACTGACACGTAGTATTTCTTTCAATTATGAATGTATACAACAGACCACAGAGGCCTCAACAGCTCCTGGAACTTTGTCACAGTGACCACCACAGCTATTTCAACATCTCAGTACAGCTGTACTGGAGGTCACTTGCTATCTGTAGCTCGGGGCTTTCAGTTTACAGTCATTATTGAACCTAACTATGGGTATTGTTGTTGAATGTGTTGACAGAAGACACTCACTAACATTTGTCTTTTTAGTTTAGTTCTGGGTAACTACTTCTCAACATAATTAGCTTCACTGGAAATCACATATTATTTCATATTATGCTTTGGAAAATACTATTTTCCATGGAGTTCATGCTCTACCAGATTGTGACAGGAGTCCCTGGCATAAAAAGTCAAGAACCCTTGCTTTGGGAAAAATGTGACCCGTGGACACCTTGAGGTGCCATTTAGGAAGGCCTGTAGGTGTCTCTTCCCAGCCAGATGGTCTCTGACCACCAGCCAGGGGTGCTCTGAGCACGGATGCCTGTTGGTAAGTCACTATCCTCCCTACCTTCCCTTGCAGAACCCTGCTCTCCTACAGACAGTACATTCTGATCGGTGGGTGGGTGGGTGGGGTAGAGGGGCTCCCTTCAGCTGGACGGCCTGTCTGCATACAGATGTACAGGCACATTGAAGATGCTCTGGGTCCATCACCCCTGGAAGTAGGCCCTCAGCTTGTCATTTACTATAAAGAAACAATCAAAGGCGGAGAAGGCTGTGCTCCAGAGATACCATCTAGGAGAGGGCGGGGCCAGAATGGTACTTGATGTTTCAGCACACGGTGGTGCTATCAGGCAGTGACTGGCAGACAGACACACGGCTATGTGGCAACTGCAAGAGTCTGGACCGACTTCTGAGTAAATTTTGCAGATCGGTGAATGTGCACCTGTGTGTCGTTCTCCTTTTAACTGGGTCTTGTGCTTCCGTTTCCATAAATAACCCCTGTGCCAGACAACGGAAAGACAGGGATGGGTTCCATTTTTAGACACCTTACTCCAGCCCCCTTGGAGGAATCTCAATAACTCTGGAGTAGAAATGCAGGTCAGGAGGTGTGAACTCCCAGAGCAGACCCGGAAGATGGTGCTGGCATAGCTGCCAGCAGGTGGCGCTAGGGCACCACCTCTGACTGGGTGGATGTTGTCAAGGCCATCAAGGGAATAAGTTTTGAGGCTAAGGACAAGCTCCACCCACCAGACCTTCAGACAAGCCGCCTAGGTCCTCCCCCCTCCCCCACAACAGCTCTTCCTGTCCTTCTGCTAGGGAGCAGGGAGGTGGGAGAAGGGTCAGGAGGTGTGTAACCTCTGCAAAACTGGGTAATTCAGGGAAAGAAGGGTTTTGATGACGGAAATGCTCCATGGCAGAAGACGCGACAGACTTGGAGTGACTGCGTCAACCCACAGAGAGACGGCATTAAAAGCACTATGAGGATATCAGCTAAGAGCCTTGCAAGTAAGTCAAAGTAAGTCAGTAGCATAACCTCTGCTGCTGTCCAGTGACTGAGTCATAGTTTCCCTCTGACATCAACACCTCCTTCACTGACAAGGTACACAGGGCAACTTCCCAAACAAGAACCAGGGCCAAGGTGAGGGGTGGGAAAGAAAGGATGGTAGGCAGAAGAAGCCAGGAGATCTCAAAGGCAACAAAGGAAGGTGTTTTCTTCAGAGACCAAAGCAGGGCAAAGTGAAGATTGATGTTCATACCCTGGCGTAGGCCCTCCATTGTCCAGGTTGAAAACTTGTTTGGGGTTGAGCAGGTAGTGAAATTTCCGAAGAATTCTACAGGGAAAAAAAAACCACACATACAACGATAGAGGCAGGAAATGGTATGGTAGCAGTCCCGAGGGGGCAAATACCTTTGGACCCATCTGTGGTGCGACCCACCAGTTGCTTAAACCTAAGACAGGACATGTTGCATGCAGACCTGATATCCCAGTACACCTAGCATCCCCATATCCTTCCCTCTGGCCCATAGATGTCTCTCCATCTGACTCCAGCCCCACCCTATGGACTGCTTATGGCTATGGCAGAGAATAGGACTGCTGTTCTAAAGCTTTCTCCCTGTTAGAGACCTCTGGGTATTCTGCATGGTTTAAGTAGGGTGGTTCTATCTGTTGTAGACAGTCCAGAGGTGCTGAAGGCCCCTAAAGAGAGGGCCCAACCTCCTCATAAGAGTACATGCAGCAGGAGGAGGGGCTGGGAAGCCGAAAGGCAATGGCTATGTCTGGGCTTGGTTTCTAGGCTCAACCTTGAGAGCACTAGGTCAGGCCAGGAGGGTGTCTTGCCGTGGGCTAGAGGCAGGGTCCTCATAGTACTTGCTTAGGCCCCACCTAATGTTATTTTTCTAAGCCTGGATTCCTGCTCTCCATGCCATCTGCTTGTTTCCCAGACTGAGCAGGCCTGGGAGGCAGAGTGGTTCTGTCTGCCCCCATCTCTTTTCCCACTCTGCTGAGCTTACTCTAGCTTCACTCAAACGCTGCATTTCCTTCACTGATAAGGTGAGGTTGGGGCTAGGCCAGGTGGTCCTAATCAGGTGAGCCTCATCAAGTCTTTTAAACCAAGAAAAGACTTGGGGTGGCGAGGAAGGAACAGGGCCCTTAGAACTTTGACTGTGACAGCCTTCACGGGGGCTCACGTGGCAGGTCCAAGGCTAAGCAGTAGTCTATTCTAATCCTTAAGGTAACCTGTGAGAGGTGATATCATTGCTATCTATGTCACAGGGGAGGAAACTGAGGCACGGGTTATTAACTCACCCGGACCAGATGATGAACTGGCCACAGGCCCAAGTTTTTTGTTTTTGTTTTGTTTTTGACAGTACAGTCTACTGTGTTGGGGCTGAGGGGAAGAAGGGGCTTGGGTCAGGTTGTTTTAGCCTATTTTGAAGAAAAGAGGGCTTACCTTTCTCCTTGCCTCCCTCCACTCTTGGGGTTCACCAAGACCAGCAGGGGATGCGTCCCCGGGCTAGGGATGATCTTATACTTAAGAATGAGAAGAGAGAGAAGTGAGCTTTGTTCAGTCACGGCGTGAGATGAAAGCAGGTGCTGAGATAGCTTCGGAAGGTGGATGGCAGCAGGCCCAGGCATGGAGGAGAAGAGGGGGGCTGTTTGCTGCCTGAGCTTCCTGGGGAGACACATGGCTGATTCCAGCCTGAGCGACTTGTAAAGGGGGTTAATGGCAATGAGGGTTGGATGTGGGGATCAGAGGTGGGGATGACACCAGCTTCAAACTACACAATTGTGTGGCATTATGCCCACAAGATCAAACGAGTGTGGCACAGCAGTTCTTCACCTTCCCAATGCTGCGAGCCTTTGATACAGTTCCTCATGCTGTGCTGACCCACAACCATAACATTATCTTGTTGCTACTTCATAACTGTAATGTTGCTACTGCTATGAATTAATATATCTGATATGCAGGACGTCTGGTTTGTGACCTCCAGGGGTCGAGAGCCACAGGTTGAGAACCACAGGTCTACAGGTTACATCTTCCAACTCATATGTATCAATGAAATGAATACCCTTGGGCGCTCAGGGCCCAGCACCAATCAAATCCTCATGACCACACCCGATTTTAAACTCAAGTTTCTCACTTTGAGGTCTATCCTCTTCTGATAGCTAAACCATTGCTTACTAATGGTGCCACACTAACAGGCCCAGACAGGCTGTCTTTCGCATGCACCCAGCCTTTCCTCCTGGTGTCTTCTTCCTGTTACAAGTTCAGTTATTAGCTGGGCATACAGGTGGAGATCCTGACCTGCCAAGTCCTTCCCTAAGAATTTCCCTGGAAGCCACCATGGTCCTGATGCCTTTGAGGCCTCTCCTACCCCCACAGGATACCCTGTGTATCCTCCACACCCCATCCCAGGTCCTTCCTGGGACACCACAACAATCATGCCTCTCCTGCGAAAGCACCCATAACAAGTCCCTGCTGCTCTCAGGATCTGATCCTAATCTCTAAGCCTTCTCATCCCTGCCCCTTTCTTCTGCTCTCTCCTCCTTCCTCCTGTCCCTCAGCAACCAGCCTAGAAGCTGGCTGGCACCCTCCAGTGAAAAGTCTCTGCTGCCGTCCTCATATGAGTGTGTCTGCCCCTGCATATGCTCACACTTTTTTGCTCTTGTCCCATGGCTCGAAATACTCTCTTCTTTGTAACCTCTTAAAGAAATCCAGAATAAGCCAGGCAGTGCTGGCACACACCTTTGATCTCAGCACTTGGGATGTAGAGACAGGTGGGTCTCTGTGCGTTTCAGGCCAGCCTGGTCTACACTGTGAGTTCCAGGACAGCCAGGGCTACACTGTGAGTTCCAGGACAACCAAAGAAATCCTTTCTTTAAAAAAATTCAGAATAACCCATGCATGACCCAGTTCCAGAGAAATCACCTCTGTGACCTTGCTCTCAACCATAGCAACTAAAAACTACTGCACTGTGACCTGTGCAGTACATCCTACTGCAGTGTGACCTGTGGAGTACATCCTACTGCAGTGTGACCTGTG